CCTTCTTCTTTTTTTTTTTTTTTTAAAGATTTTATTTATTTATTTGACAGAGAAAGACACAGTGAGAGAGGGAACACAAACGGGGAGTGGGAGAGGTAGAAGCAGACTCCCTGCCGAGCAGGGAGCCCGATGCGGGACTCGATCCCGGGACTCCAGGATCATGACCTGAGCCGAAGGCAGTTGCTTAACCAACTGAGCCACCCAGGCGCCCCTGTCTTGACCTTCTTAGTTTCTTAACAAGGGACCCCACATTCCCATTTTGCCCTGGCCATGTGCCTCGGGATTTCCCACCAACTCTGATGCTTGCCACTGATTTCCCAAAATTCCTTTCCATGATTATATGGGACGACTTTGTTCTCTCCTTAAAATTGGAAGGGGTGTGTGTGTGTGTGTACATGACCACACACACACGTGTATGTCTATTTTTAAGGAGGTACATGTGGGGGCGCCTGGGTGACTCAGTTGGTTGGGCGACTGCCTTCGGCTTAGGTCATGATCCTGGAGTCCCTGGATCGAGTCCCGCATCGGGCTCCCTGCTCAGCGGGGAGTCTGCTTCTCCCTCTGACCCTCCTCCCTCTCATGCTCTCTGTCTCTCATTCTCTCTCTCGCAAATAAATAAAATCTTAAAAAAAAAAATTAAAAAAAAAAAAGAGGTACATGTGAATCCGAGAAAAACCCTACAGGTGCATTTTGAATTAGAAATTAAATAATAGAAAAGCTCTTGAGTCAATTTCACGTCTCTTCCTGGGTGTATTTGTTCTATCTGTTCCAGGTAATTTTATGTCTGGCCCCTTCATCTAGGCTGCGATGTTCTTGAATGACCCTTCAGTGTATGCAGTTAACACGTGATACAATAGGTGGCCCCCATTCTTCAGATGCGCCATACTGGAGTTGCCTTGCCGATATTAAACTATCACATCTCTGACCTCTAGTCCCAGTAAGCCAAAGGCTCACTCTTCTGGCTGGTGTAAAATCTGGTAAATTTACTTCAAAGGGGTTCCTTCAGATTCTGAAGTCTTACTGTATTGAGCCATTGACAGCGCAGTCTTTTATTTGGCTTCTAATTATAGGAGACACCATACGTATTGGAATACATGTAAATGATTGAATGGCTACTTAGATACCTACAATAAAGGAAGAGGGCAGGTGAGTAAATGTTCCTAACAGCTATCTACCTTAGATAGCGAAGCCACATGAAATCACCTCAAGGGAATTTGGGACTTGACCGCCTTCTCCATATTTATCAAGCACTTCTAGGGTCTTTTTTGCAGCATCCTATAACAGAAGTTGGCACGCTTTTCCTGCAAGGTGCCAGCTAATTGATAGCTTAGGCTTTGTGGGCTGTAAATCTCTGTTATAACTATTCAGCTCCTTCGTTGGAGTGCAAAAGCAGCCATGGGCAATATGTAAACAAGTGAGCTAGCTGGGGTCTAACAACAAAAAAAATAAAACAGAGCGAGAGCTGGATCTGGTCCATTGGCCATGGTTTGGGGAACCCTGACCCATACATATCCTTTGTATCTACTTAGTCCTCACCCTTGGTAGACAAGTTGATCCTACATAGGCCAAGTACAAGAAAGATCACATTCTCTTCCCTTTCCACTCTAGTTTTAGAAAAGGCTCTTAAAAAAAAGAAAACATGCACAGAAGTTAATGGTTAACAAGGCTTAATTATAATCCTTACTGAGGCATAGATGTCTGTGTGTGGTGGTGGTGGGGGGGTGCAGTAAAGGGCTTACTAAGGTCACAAGGAAATGTGCTCTGGTTTGGTTTAAAACAAATGAATGAAGCCCCATGTTTGTAGTCAATGATTTGGGGAAGGGGGCTTGTGAGGTCTTTCCATACCTTGTCTTCACACCACACAGACCCTACACTTACCTTCCATCAAAGACTTGTCAATTACCTCCCCAGTGAGTGGAAGGCGCTCCCACACAGGGATTCTCTGAAAAGACCAAACCTATTAGATGGTGTACTCAACAAACCAGATTTGGCAGGATGCAATGAAAAAAGCAACTCCACTCTTCTGCACTGTCCCTTTACTGATGTTTTCATCCCCAGTGGGTGAGATTTCAGGCAGGTCCCATCATGAATCTGCTTATTTTCGGGGAGATAAATATAGGTGAATGTATTAGTCTGGGCTCTTGAGGGAAACAGAATCAATAGGATATATATACAGAGAGACAGAGACAAAGAGACAGAGAGATTATTATAGGAATTGGCTCATGTTGTTATGGAGGTGTCCTCTGCAAGCTGGAGAAGCAGGAAAACCAGTGGTATCATTCAGTCCAAGTCCAAAGGCATTGGTATCTGAGGGCCAAAGATGGGTGTTGCCGCTCAAGCAGGGAAACCATTTGCCCTTCCTCTGCTCTTGGTTCTATTCATGTCCTCTGGACTGGATGATGCCCTCTAGCACTGGGGAAGGGGATCCCCTTTATTAGTCTACAGATTCAAAGGCTGATCTTTTCCAGAAATGCCCTCAAAGACACACCCCGAAATAATGTCTTACCAGTTCCTGGGCATCCCTCAGTCCAGTCAAGTTGACACATAAAAGTGACCATCTCAGCCTTGATCATTGTCCCATTCAGTGACCACAGGGGATGATGGAGGGGGGATGGTGGCCATTGGAGAGGGGACCCCTGGAATCTTCAGCCTCGATATTGATTGTGGACTCTGCCCTCCACCAGGATTTAGACATGGGGTACTTCCCCAGGTAGGGGAAGGAGGTTGAGGTGCCGCACAGCTAGAGCCGCAGGAAAAGACAAATGTCTCTTACATCCTTGTCCATCTATCTTTTCTGCATTTGTGCATTCATTCACAGGATGGAGGCCTAGCAATGCACTATCTGGGTCAAGGCTTTATATGCACTTCAAAATTTGGTGATGTTTCCAAATCTCTCTTACAAAAAGTTTATACTAGTTTACAATCCTACCAACAGTGCATGAAAGTTCTGATTTCTCCACTCCCTCCAAACACTGGGTAGTTTCAGTTATCCAAGGGAAATGTTTTTATGAGAAATACCAAAGTTCCTAGTTAGAAGAGTCTAATCTTGCTCTGTGATTTTATATATGTGACAAATGTGGTTCCTCTTAAAAAATAAACAATAACATTTTCAGAGAGCAGTACCGTTGTTAAGATGTTAATATATTTATTTAATCTTTCAGAAGATTCTAAGTGTATTCCATAGTATCTCATATGCATTAACAGGCTTCAAAATATATCATTATCTACATATGCATGTGTAATACGTGTGAGTGTGTAACACTGAAATGTGTGTATACAATTATATGTACATAAAGAATAGCAAACCAATTTAAGATTATTTTTTACTGTAGTGAGATCACTTTCCAGCTACTATAAAATGTATTAATACATTATATGGCTAATATACTTGAGCAAAGAGAAATGAGCTCAGCAAGATGTGATGCCAAGCAAGGCATCTACACTGAAAGATAGCCTGTAGTGTTTTATTGGGACCTCACCAAGGACAGCACATTACACATTTGATCTACTTTTCCTGAAGGTGTAGGCGTTAAAAAATGTATTAAAAATAATAAGGATGAAGGCTCACGATCTAAAAGTGTGAGACAGACTGGGGCTTAGCAAAATTAAACAGATTTCCTTTCTGCGGGATGTCTATGCGCCTTACTCTACTCCTGAGAGTTTAATCTCCAAACAGAGAAAATAATGGAAAGGTTTTCCCCATTGATAAAATCAATCTCTTTTATCATTGGACTACATCTGTTCTGGGATTGTGTGTTAAACCTCCTAGTGTTAGAGTATTTTTAATACAAGAGTATCCGTCCCATCCATGCCCTGTGTTGAGGACCATAGCTGTGCTGCTTTCTTGTGTGCAGAGACCCTACATCTGGAATGTTCACTATAACTGCACTGTTCCCTACTTAAAGAAAACACTCACATGCCAGACTCACCAGATATGCATAGGGATTCATTAATTCCATTTAATTGGCACCCAGAGAACTGATCTTCTCTGCTGACTTCAAGTCTTGCCTTGTGCTGACGTTTAGAACCAACTCCAGCTTCACATTTGAGTATTTATTAGTAATCTTAGAAGTCCCCTCCAACTGAGCAGTTACTATGCAAATCTAATTTTGGCATCTTCTATTTCAGCCCAGTCTTCTAACATTATGAAATATTATCATTTCTCAAGGACATAAGCAGCTTTTGCTCCTTCCTCTAGGGGGTTTTTGGTGAAGAGAACAGAGATTCGTTATGGAATTTTTTTGTTATCTGCTTGCCTAAGTCATCGGCTGATGTCTTTATATTTTGTCTATGCCTGGTGTGTGTGGAACACGCTTCTCGTCGTGGTCGCCCACTGAACACTACTTATCTTTCCAATCCAAGCCCTTGGCCCATAAGATGCGAGTCCATGGCTCTCTGTACAAACCCCTCTCCTCCAACGTCTTAGTCATCAGAGCCATCGCACCTCCAGCCTCAGATGGGCAGGCGCATAGCACCCGGTAATATCTGTTAATGCTTGTTGGACAAATAATTGGATGATCATGTTGAAAGTTCTGCTTACTAGAACTACATTTTTCTTTGGTAAAGCTTGTTTTTTTCTGAAAATGCAGTTCTGAGTGTAGCTAGAAATGAGTTCTCTTGCTCATTATTTCTCCAACTTGGGCCATACAAACATGAATTTAAAGAAAGTAAGAGTTCTCATGGACTCAGAGTATTGATTTAAATGACCTATGGTATTATATAAATATATGTAAACTCTAAGCCAGCTATAAATACTTCATGCTTATAAATCCAATAAAATGAAAACACACAAATTTATACCTGAGTATAAGATTTAAAACAAGTAAAATTCCAATTAACATTACTTAATTTGGCCAATTAGGTTTGCTCTTAAGAAAGTGCCATTGAGATGTAAGCATGATATCATACTGAGGGAAAAGTCTTCTGGTCTCAGCATGACTGGTGGTTGCTGTTTGATGCCCAGGTCTCCCCTGTTTCCCTACATCCAGACTTGTGACGCCTGAGCCCCTTGGTCATCACAGCATTGCCATATTGTTTTGATTTCGCTTTATGGAAACATTTATGCCTTAAGTATAGCTGAATACATTTAATACACATAATACACTTATATTATCAATGAGATGGAATCACAACCTTCAGAACTGTCGTCATTAAAACAATTCACAAAGCACAAACACTAGTTTGAAAATCATTTCTGAAGCCAGAGGGGTTTGCATTCTTCCCAGGCACAATTTTTCCAAGTGCAAGTGTTAGAGTGTAAAATTATTAACTAAGTAAGATGAACTACTCAGTTAATCAGAGCACATTGGGCCTTGAGCATAATGTTTACCTGAGGTGTTTTTCTGGGTGTTTCAATAAATACGCCACATTCATTGTGTCTGCTGATAAATAATATTTTTATAGCATTTTCCATTAAACTACTTTTAAACAGAAGGTTTCTAAATGTCAGTTGTTTTTCTTTTTTAGATTTTATTTATTTATTTATTTATTTATTTATTTATTTATTTATTTATTTATTATTTGAGAGAGAGAGAGAGAGAGGAGGGAAGGGAGAGACCCAATCTCCAGCAGATTCCCCCGCCGAGCAGAGAGCCCGATGTGGGGCTCGATCCCACGATCCTGACATCATGACCTGAGTTGAAACCAAGAATCGGACACTTAATGGACTGAGCCACCCAGATGCTCCTTGTTTTTCATCTATAACAAAGGGACAACTTTGTCAACCTTTCAAGGTGGTTGTGAGTCACATAAAAGTTAAATGTGGGGCGCCTGGGTGGCTCAGTCGTTAAGTGTCTGCCTATGGCTTGGGTCATGGTCCCAGGGTCCTGGGATCGAGCCCCGCATCAGGCTCCCTGCTTCTCCCTCTCCCACTCTCCCTGCTTGTGCTCCCTCTCTTGCTGTGTCTCTCTCTCTGTCAAATAAATAAATAAAATCTTTAAAAAAAAAAAAAGTTAAATGCGATCATGTGTGCAACGCGCTTGGTAAGGGCCCAATGCAGCCAGGAGTCCAACAAGACGGCTTTCCTCTTCTTCCAGGAACGCATGGCTGCTGCCACCACCACTAGCTTCTTTTCTCTTCTGTCAGTCCCTGCAGAGTCCTGCAGTGTTACCTTGTCCCATGCCACTGCCTTTCTTCCGAAACCTTGTGACAGTACCAGGTTCCTTTCTAAGAGGAGCTTCCATTGTTCAAGGGAGCAGAGGACTCTGGGACCCAGGAGCGCTACATGGCCTCCATGCTGAAGAGTGAGTCCTTGAGAAGGGCAGCTCATTCCTCTAGGATGTCTGCATGTCCTTCCTCTTAGAGACTGGGGATTTCTTGTTCATGTATATGCAGAACTTGAAAGAGTTTGAAGCAGAGACACTGTGGACTCTTGATGTCCCCTTGAGCTCTTCTTACTTCCATGCTGACAACATGGCAGAAAGAGAGGAATAAAACCCTTAGAATGGTCCACAATCATGGTGGGGAGCAAATTAATGAGTCTTCTCTAGACTCCCAAACTGGTTCACAGAATATAAAGCTGGAGCTATAGGTAGGTAGGATAAAGCTTACAAGGTCAGGAGTACACAGTCAAAAAATGAACGTCTTCAACAATGGATAACACTGAAGGCTTCCCTGCCAACATCGAAATGAGTCAAGGAAGTCTTACACTAAAATTGAAAGAAAATCCAAACATTGCAGATAAAGGATGCTATCACGGAGGGAAGAAATAGCTGGAAGGATCAGGGAGGGAAGTTAGACTTCCCTGACTATATCTTATTTTATAGATTTGATTTCAGACCTATGCATATTTTTATAGAAGACAAAATTAACCCAAAATTTAAAAAGCAATCCCCAAATATCAAAAGAAAAAGAAATGACCCTAACTACATCTTAAGGTGGTCATTAGCCTGCAAATAAAGTCCTGTTTCAAGTGACCTCAACACAATGATCTAACTGACTGACACTAATGGGCCCGTGCACTCAGGACAAAAAGAACATAAAGAGGTCTTCAGCTCTCCAGTAATTACAGCCTCAGTGACAACATTGGTATTATTCTTTTTAAACTCTTATGTATTCATAGGTAGAATCAATAAAAATAATTATGCATTCATAGGTAGAATTAAAAAAAAACAAGGATTTTAGGACAAAGAAAAAGAGATGATACAGATAAAAAATTGTAAAGTTAAAAACTCTATCATTACAAATGTAAACCAAACATATCAGTATGTACTTAGGATGGATTTTCTCTTTAAAAAAAAAAAAAAGACATTTGTTAGCTCTGTCCCCCAAAAAAGCATAGAAATAGCATCTCACCCAGAAACAATCAGCACTACTAGCACCCTAACTGTGATCTCAAAATACCATTTCCCACTAAAAGGAACCACTTCTCCTTAGAGAAAATGCTGCTTCCAGGTGATGGCAGAAAATGTACACTGATCCTAGCTAGACCGGCTTCTTGTTCCAGAAAGAGAGAACTCCTTCTGAGTGACTAGAGTCAGGACGAAAGGCGTCGGAAGCCAGCGTACAAGGATTCCCACTAGTAACAGAAGTAATAACGACCACTGATGGCGGGGTATCTGATGTCCACGGTCCATGAGAGCACAACCCCGATGCTGGCTACAGAACCGACCCTGCACACGGGAGGAGAAATATTCTCACCTCTTGTTTCAGACTAGACTGTTATTCTGAAAGCTAGTGAACACAGGGTATAAAACAGGCATTTATCCCACTTCACCTGTGTGAACTGTGCTTCTGGGTAAAAAATGTAGTTAAGGAAAGTTCTTTATAGAAGACATTTGGGCAACAGAAGAGTATAGAGCTAGAATATCACAATTTTACAATCTGTAATGACAAAAAAATCAAGGTAAGGGTCATCAGTGCTGCCAAAACCATTAGGTGAAGAGCTGATGGAGAACATGATACAGATGTGCTGACGGCTCACCCATCACAACACCAAGGGGAAACCAGCAGAATCCTGGGTGTCAGTGGGATGCTATGTGCAGTGCACAACCTACACACCATTCTTGCCCCAGAACCAACTTCACCTGATTGTCTCTACATCAGTGCTGTTTAGTAGATATATGAGAGCCAGATAGAACCTTCCATTTTCCAGTAAATACCTTAAAATGGTTTAAAAAAAGATAAGAATTAATTTTGAGTATTTATTATTTAACTCAATGTATCCCAAATATTATAAATTCATAATCTTATCAATGGAAAAAATATTGATGAGATCTTTTGCATTCTTTTTTTCATACGAAGTCTTTGAAATCTGCTGTATATTTTACACTTACAAGATATCTTACTTTGATTGCTGAATTTCCATTTGAAAAATGTAGTCTGTATTTAGATTTTATAAAATTTACAATTAAACAAGTAGATTTACATATCAAAGTCGTTCCAATCATACAAAGCTTTTCCAATAACTGAGTGGAGTATCCGTTTTTAAATTTACATTAATTTAAATTAAATTAAATATACTAAAATGAAAATTCCTTTCCTCAGTCACAGAAGCTACATTTGGAGTGTTCAATGACCGTACATATGAGCGAGTGGCAGTTCTCTTGCACAGAGAGATGTAGATCTTTCTTTCAAGACACAGGAGTGTGCAAGGTACCAAGAATGAGAGAGCACATCAGTCATGCAGAGTGTGGGAAACTCTATAGGATAAGGAATCCGATATATTGCAAGTTAAAAAAAATAAATACAAGGAGAGAGAACCGGAAGATTAAAGAGATTTAAGATATTTGTCAGCCAAATGCAATGTTTGGAATGTGCTAGATCCTGATTTTGGCAAGTCAACCAGCTATATACATATTCGTATACACATGTGGATATAAACATACTTACAACTAGGTCGTTGGAATTATATATTTAAATGTAATATCTATTTAATGGAGTTGAGTTATTGCTAATTAGTGTTATTATTGATCCTGGTATTGTAGAGATCCTTTAAGAGAGAGAAGGCCTATTGGCAGAGACCCAGACTGAGGAGTTTACAAATGAAATGATACTGAGGAGATAAAGAAGGATTATGTGGGATTTGTTGGTGAAACAAGTTGACCAGATGTTCATATTGTTGAAACTGGGTGATGAGGACATGGGGGTTACTATAAAATTGGCAGTACATCCGATAATATTAATGCTGACAATTTGGTCAAGTATAATGGCATGCAATGACATTGGGGGGGGGTGTTTCTTATGTACAATCAACATGAAATCATATGAAATCTTAGACTTGGCTTCATATTTTTCCAGAAAAGATAGTAGGTGAGGGAGGATGGAGACACCAGGACATCCCTGATCCCTGGTGTGGGAGCCATTATCCCTGCACCCCAGGGCATAGCTCAGGCACCCCAGCCTCTTGTGAGGGCCTCCCCAGCAAGACCCAAGCTCAGGACAGCCCTCACACGTCAGAAGGGGAGAGTTGGGAGAGAGCACGGCTTGTGGCCAGAGTATTCAGAAATACATGAGATCAGGTCCTTGGCATCTACACTAGGAGTCAAAGCTCAGGGCCCTGTGTTTTGAGTTTGCTGTTTTCTGGAACATCTAGGCTGTCTTTCTCAAACTTGTGTGTGTGTGTCCTTTGCTGAGCCCAGCTGAGGGTTCCTAAGGCCCGACCAAGAATATGACTTGAAAAGTCTATGCTCCTTACCTAATTCCCCAATAAAAGGCAACGTCTGGGTTTGTTTACTATTATTGCATGTGGGGATCATTAAATCCAAGTGGATTAATGCCGATGACAGCCTTCGTCGTTCCAGAAATCTCGACTTGGGGTACGACTTTCCCTGCTATCAATTTGAATTACTTCCACTGTGTCAGCGCTATTTTAAGAGGATCAATGAAGATTTATGAAGAAAAAAAGCCTTGTCACCTACTCCAAAATGGACCAAATTAATTAAGCTTCTGGAGCCAAATCTATGACACCTTTTATATATTGTTACTTTTTATGGGCCCGAGGCTGACACTGATTAGAACAAAAAAGATGCACCTTTTCCGCTGAGAACAGTAGATGTTTTTCAACAAGCAGGTATTCATAATTTAACGTTCTTCGTTGCCAGAATGGGATGTCAGTGGCATATTTCTTATAAAAACATGAGCAGCTCCCTGCATGTGGCAGGAGTAGAAAATTTAAACTACCAGAAGTTATTATAAGTGCACTGTGTGAAGGCTTTCTACTCTAGGTCCAAGAAGTATTAGACAAATTAACAACTACAACAATTCGCAGTTCATAGTAACAATCTCCCCAGACATGAGGTTCTCTAAGTCCCCAGTGAGAAGGCTTTCCTGCTCCCCAGTGAAGAGGTCTGACTTATAGTTCATTTTTTCGTTTGTTTGTTTAACATTTTATTTATTTATTTGAGAGAGAAAGAGACAGAGCACAATAGAGAGGGAGGGACAGAGGAGAAGCAGGCTCCCCGCTGAGCAGGGAACCCAAACCGGGGCTCCATCCCAGGACCCTGGAATCATGACCTGAGCCGAAGGCAGTTGCTTAACCCACTGAGCCACTCAGGCGCCCCTGTCTTGTGGTTCTTCCTGTGAGGTTTAGGGCTGTCCAGCTGGGTGAGCTGGCTGGAGAAATGTGGTCCTGGGCCAGGCAAGAAAGCAGGATGTGTGTATTTTTTCATCTCACCTTTTGTGTCCCGAGATTCTCCTGTTAGCAGTCGGAAAGGCAGGGAAGTGGAAAGGGATGGAGCCAAAGCCAGGATTGCAAGTGTCTACCATGCTTCTAGCACTCAGATGCATTAGCAAGCCACTTAATCCCTGGCACTTCCTGGTCTCCTCGCTAGATTGGCACCCTGATCAAATGTGACCAGCTTTGGAAGCATCTGTTAACTATGTAGGTATCCACCCACCTTTGTCCCATTTCTGCCTTTCAAGACTTGTTCCGAGTCTTCACATGTTAGAGGGCTGATCTGTGAAACCCATTCAAAATGGAACACAGATGGTTGACAATAGGCTTCCGTGGTTTTTAACCAATTTCTTCTATCAAATTACTCTGCTACCCCAGTAGTCAATATTTTGGACACTGTGGAAGGCCAATGAGGGAGAAAACGGAGGGAGGAGAGTCTTTCTGGAAGTCCCTTCAGATGTAGCTGATGCAATCCACAGCTTACTTTAAGGCAGACCCAGCGTGCCAAATGTGGACAGAAGACCCTGGTAGAAGGAGCTTATTTCTGTTTTTATTTGTTTGAGGAGCTTATTTTTAAAACACGGTTTCCCTTTCTACTTCAGCACTGTGGAGCTGGGAAAGCTGCCCTGAGGATGGGCACAGCTCGGTTTGAAGGAGTCGGCGCAGCTGTGGGGGTTTGGTCCCAGCAGGGCCAAGGGGGCAGGTGGGTGGAGAGTGTGGGGCGGGGGCGGCTCATCAAGAAAGGACTCGGGACTGGAGAGCAGAGACCAGAACATGACCTCCGGGCCAGT